TTCTTTAGAAATAATGACTGGCCTGGGGTGAAGGTCCTTAGGATCTGCCCAGCATTAGTTGTCTCAGACAAAGCCCTGCCCTTACTACCCTGCCCAACCACAGTGACTGGAGTCTTGCTCCAGGCTCTGCTGCCTGAGGTTGGGTGCTGTTGGTAAAGACAGTCCCTTGACACCAAAGATAATGATAAGCTTGATTGCACGTGAGTCACACAGCAGGGACCTGCACAGTCTGTAAGAAAGTTGGCCCAGGCCCACTCCAAGGCTGGTGCTGACAGAGGCCAAAATTCCAGTCTGGCCCAGTGTGCAGATCTCTGCCTAGTATCAGGGTAGGTCCAGACCTCTGCCCTAGACCTCTGGCTTGGGTATAGGAATTTTGGTTTCTGGCTGGTTATTAGGCCTTACTAGGGAGGGCCCCACTCTGAGCTCCCAGGAATAGTACTGTGCTAGCTCTTGCACCCTGCTCTGGGGAGTGGTTGGAGTATGGTTCTACCTTGTACTGCCTGATGTGGGTAGAGGGTATATAGAGGCAGCCAGCTGTCTTGCTAAAGCAGGTGTGGCAGTTTAATCCAGGTACCACCAGTCTGGAGCAGGGTTCATGGGCTCTGCCTAGCACCAGGTTTTACCATGTCCTCGTCCCAGCTTTCAAGTCTAAGGCCTGAGCTTAATTCCTTCTCCCTCCTGCAAGCAGGAGTTCTCTTTCCAGGCTGCTTTGAGTTGGAGAAGGAATGACACAGGCAGCTCTTTCCCTCCTGCCTTCTTTGGTGCTTCTTTTCTTATCATTATAGTAAAAGCAGGCACTATGGTCTCTGGCCTGATTACCTTAGCTCTTGGGAAGGTAGTTTGCTATGTGAATAGCTGTTCAAATTGGAGTTTCTGTGGGGAGACAATCACTGGAGGATCTCACTCATCTACTGCTTTGCTCCCAGATGCAATTACTTCCCAAGTAAAGAGAGCTAGCTCTGAGACATGTGTGAGTCTATCTATGTGTGCGTGCGTGTGTGTGTGTGTGTGTGTGTGTGCGGAAAATGTGATTTACAAATTATTTATCTATATGATTACAAATACATAGGTATATATGTATGCATATATGTATATAAATTTGAAATTATATACACGTAAAGTATTAATTTAGAAGGCATGTTCCTGGATTTCAATTCAGCCCTGCACTAACTAGGTATGTGAGCTGGGGTAAATTATTTATGTCCCAGTTCTCTTGTTTGTAAAATGAGGAATCCAATAGTATATATACTTTATACAATTGTTGTAGGATTAAGTTAGCACATTTGAAGCAGTTATGAAAGGCCTGGTATGTTTCCAATGTAAACACCATCTGGTACAGCAAAGGAAACACGTTTCTGAACATTTTAATGGGTCCCAACTCCACAGGACATGGCCCAGAGTTTTCTCAGTAAGTGGTTGAATTGATAGTGCCCAACATTCCCCTGGAATTCAAATCCTAGTACATTCACTCACTAGGGAGTTGACCTTGGGGAAGATTTTGACTTTTCTAAGCCTCATTTTATCATTGTAAAACTGGGATAAGAATGCTGATTGCTTAGGACTAAATTAATTAACTCAAGTAATTTGCTTAAATCCATGCCTTGCCACATAATCTTACCTATTATTGTTCTCCCCTACTCAAAAATGTCAGTTTTACCTTACCTAGAATTAAGGGAGAACCATAGCCCATGGAGTCCAAAATTCCCTAAATAAATGAGGCACACACTAATGTAATAACACTGCTCACAGGGTCCTGCAGTGATTTTCCTGCAGTTCTGACATAGCCATATGGGTCTCATGTCCATCGTTTCTGATCATGCCTTCCTTGGTCTCCATCCTACCATCTATTTTTGCCAGCATATCTTTTCAATCTTCCTTAGAAGGAGAGTTCTACTTGTAATTCCTCAGGAACCTTCTCTTCTCATACTCCCTATTCCATTCTTCATTGTCATCACAGAAAAAAACAATGCACCAAATGCTACTAAGAAAGACACACAAAGAGAAATGTCTATTGGATTTGCTATAAGGGGAGTCACTAGTGGTCTTGAGGATGACACCAGATGACATTGGTGGCCTTGATGAAACCCTTAGAATGAAAGGACATGTATGAGAAGCTTATTGGGTTGAAAGCAGAAGCAGAAAGGGAAAAAAACTGGGAACAATGAATTTGGACATTCTTTAGAGGATTAACTGGATAATAAATGCTCAGTGTCCCTCAGTGACCCATGTATGTTCACAGGTTCATTGCTATGTGGCCAGTGAGCTTCTCTATACCTGAGATGACATTTGTGAAGCCCCACATCCAGCATCTGTCATGTGGTGAACACTCTGTATTGAGTTTTCAGTTGCTGTAAATCTTAAAGAAATTTCCAGAAAAAGAGAACTTTACATCAGACACAGGTTTATGAGTGTCTGCTTTAACAGCTGTTTTATGAACATTCAGTCGCATAAAATTTTCCATACATTCACAACTTACCTCATGTCTTCTTTAAGAGTTTTGCTTACTTAATATTCAAAGCCTAAATGCCTTCCCTCTGCTTCAGACTCATCTTAACCTTGATGTGCAAGCTACCAGTGTTTGGGTCAATTCTACTGGACAGTTTGATGCAGCAAAAGTACGAGGGCAGGACAGGTGTTGGAGGGTGGTTCTTGTCATTGGGGTGAGGGTCTCAGACAGAAATGCTATCCCTTGACCTCGTTTGCTCTGTTCAAAAAAATTGAATTCTTCTCTTAACTTTTATTTCACATTTTGTTAGCTACCCCCCTCAAAACTTTATCCTCAAAATTGCTGTTGGATTTTCTATGGGGGAGGAAGAATTATATTGACCTTATAGAAGTTAATTTTATATCCTCCATTTCAACCTAAAAGATGTGTAGCCCATAACCCACTGGCGTTCATGCTGACAACCTATACATAGTTCCAGGGTTGAATGCAATTTGATTGGAAATAACCTCAGCAGTGAACTCCAAATATCATGCTATAAAATAGAACAGAAAGAAGAAAATGAAAACTGTATCTCTCTGTTTCTCTGTCCCTCTCTCTGTCTCTGCCTCCCTCTCTCCCTCTCTATCTCTCACACACATACCAAGAAAACATACAACCCATGCTAAATATGTCTTTTCTGATTTGTATTTGGCTCTGATTTGAAGTAAACAAGCATCTACCATAAATACTGAGAACTTTATGGTACTATTTTTCTCTTCTGTATCTTAAGCCACAAGTGCCTCTGAGCAGCCAGTCTTTATGCATAAACTGTAGTTTGTGAAAGCTTCAAGCTCATTGGAAATGGAAGTAGTGTTTGGTGAGATGGGAAGAAGGGATGCATTTTAAACTAATAAATAATCATCATCCGTGCCGACTTGGAAAATAGCTTTCTTGTTGAATAATATTTCAATACATAATATCTTGAAATGAGACTGCCATTACTAATTTAAGTGTGGCTTGCCATATAAATCCTGCAAATATGTACATACATGAGGCCTAAATTACTCTCTGGGGCTGCCTTTTCCTACTTCAATTACTTTAAGGAGAAACCTATTCAGGTGACATGAGGGCTGGTTAGTGGAGGGATAATGACCCTAGCAGAGCATATAAGCCACTTGGTGAGTTGGGTCCCCTGTGTCAGGCTTGTAAACAAATGCTCCCAGCCATATTCCACCTTCATAGGCGAGTTTTCTTAGTGACAAGTGAATACCCAGAATTAAGACGAGGTCAGATTTCTCCCAACTACGACCCGCACCACATACGAGGCTGGTAGGCTCATCTACTGTGTCACAGTATCTGAATTTAAATCAGGAGGAGCAAATCTCTCAGAATCCTTGTGTATGCCAATAGTGTTGTGCTGACCTTTGAATTACAAATAGATACTGGGAAGGAAGTCCCAGGAGCAGGCAATGTCCATTAAATAACAATTATGAGAAGCTGTTTGCCTTTTGGAATGGCTTTTCCCATAATGAGGATCTGACCAAGCTGAGAAGCTGGGGAGTGGTGGGGCTCGAATTGCAGTTTGTAATTCTGAATTATTCATTTCTCAGATGGAGAGAAATCCTCAAGCCAGGCTAGGGAGAGAAAGTCAAAGAGGCCCAGGGGCCTTACTTAAGGCCAGAGTTTATATAGAAAGGACTATGGAGACCTTACTAAGAATCTAGAAGAATTAGACAAAAAGTCTGGCTTCTTTTCTCCATGAGAATTTAAATCATTTGTGTAGGACACAGTGTTAGCTTTTTTTTTAAAATCTGTGTCTCCTATGTAAAGTCAGTTTCACAAAAGGTTTGGATCGAGACATTTTTTATTTTTTCTAATATTTATAATTTGCTTTTGGAGTTGGCTAGAAAATATTGCATGCATTATTTTGCATAGTTTTTTCATATTAAGAATTCTTAACCCAAATATGGTAGCACAAACCAATAATCCCAACTGCCTCAGAGGATAAGGCAGGAGGATCACAAGTTTGAAGCCAGCCTAGGCAACTTAGCAGGACCCTTTGTTAAAGTTAAATAAAAATAACTGGAGATGTAGCTCAGGGTAGAGCACTTGCTTAGCCTACACAAGGCCCAATGTCCAATCCCCAGGGCAACCACAGAAGGAATACTTACATTGAACTATTTTAAATGGCTGGAATTCTGACATGTATTAAATTTAAACCAATAAATTACAGGGTTTTTCCTAACAGTTCCCATCCTTAGAATGCAGGGTACCATGGGATGTAAGACTCTAGACTTTGAAGTTAGCAATCTGGAATTGAATGTCAACCTGCTACCTAATAGGTTATATAGCATATTATTCAATCATTTGGATTCCGTTCCTCATCTGACAAACAGGAATAATAATACCTAACCCATAGGGATGAGGCAAAGACAAAATGAGAGAATAGGTTTAATGCTTGTGCGAGCACTAGGCACAGGGCAAGTCCTCAATAAATGGCTCTCTATTCATTATTCAGCTTTTGCTGCAACAACAAACAACCCTTAAATCCCAGGGGATTACAAAAGCAAAATACCTATGTTATTATTCATATTTCATGATGACTGCCGCTCCACTGTGATCTTGCCAGGTTCTGCTTGGCTCAGCTGGGTTCCATGTGACTTCCTTGAATGAGCAGCTCTTGTTTTGGGGCATGCAGCTGCCATAGTGGAGAGCAGAAACTCGAGGTGGGGGCAAAACCTCAGATGATCCACATGTCTGCTCAGAACTGGGGTGTTTCCAATTCCTACCTACCAATGATCAGAAAGACATGTGGACAATCCCAGTGTCAAGGAAACAGGAACAAATGCGTGCCTTGTGGGCTGCAGTAAACAGGAAAGATCATCCAATACACATCCTAATAATTTACTATTATTAAGTGATAGCCAGGGAGTTATAAAATTTTAATTTGTTTTCACTTGGGTGGTAATTAGGAATTAAGACTCTTTGCACTTCAATCCATTTCAATATCTATAATTTTCACTCTATAATTATTGACCAGTGATAGTTGTGGGGCCTATTTAATTGTACCCATAATAATAATTATCATAATAATGAAACGTTCCTTATGGTAGAGTGAAAAGGCTATTCTTTTTATAAATATGCTCATTTGATATGCACTCTTTTTAAAATGGTACTTAAGAGTGGAAAAGAGAAAAAAAATCAGATTACCTTTCTTGAGTCCGTGGGAATTCTTATTCTTGAAAAAAATGGTTCTGCATTTAAATAAGTGAATTATATTATTTGGCCATCCACCTTCCCTCCCAGCAAGGTGCCACCTCATCAGTCAATTTTCTTAATTAATGACAACAGCTCATAAAAGTTGAGCAATTGTAATGTAATAGATACCACGTCAAGCATTTTACAGGAGTGTTACCCCCTTACTTGAAATATGCTTTATGAAACATTGACTACAAATTATCACCAATTTACAGATGAGAAAATTGAGGCTTGGGGAGGCTAAGTAACTTACCCAAAGTCACACAATGAGGAAAGGACTGGGTAAAGCACTTGACTTCAGGGCCTTCAAGCTGTGCACACAACCAACTACCTCCTGAAAAAATATAGAATAATCCTGATGATAAAAATGCTTCAGCTGCACACTACAAGCAATTATTCCACACAATAACTCCTTTAATCATTGAGCTTGTTAAATAGGTGCAATCATAATGCCCATTGTGGAGGTCCAGAGAGGTAAGTAACTCAATAAAGACTGCACAGGTGGATAAGCTAGCTTTTAAACATAGTTTTATGTTGTTGAAGTTGGTAGTCTTGGGTTCTATGTGCTCTTGACTCTGTAAAACAGAAAAATGATGGATGAATAGATAAATAGATAGATAGATAGATAGATAGATAGATAGATAGATAGATAGATAGATAAATAGATAGGAAGGAAGGAAATCTTAATCTGAAAACGCTCACTCTCATCCTATTTCTGACATTTTCCAAACTGACCATAATTTCAAACCTACCTCACACACAAAGGTTTTAAACATGAGCTCCTGTCCAAATTATTTTCTTCCTTTGCCTCCCAAGATCTTTCCCTCCAGTCACCATAACAACCCACAACCTGCAATACACAGTTGGAATCCTTATCGAGAGTGGCAGAAAGGAGAAGCTTTAGATGTATCTCTTCAGGGGTCCTCTCTGACATGTTTATCTCCTCCTGGTGAACTTTGGGCATCCTGTGATCTAGGACACTGCCAATTAGGCTGTAAACTGTGCAGCTGTCTCTGTGCACTCCTGGCTCCTGGGAGCCCAGTAGGAATTCTTGCATCCATATGCATGCTCTCCCAACCCCCAGCATCCTAAAGTCAAAAGAGGAAGTGCATCTAAGTTACACTTAAAAATTATGTAGAGTAAATTGGAAGAAACGTGTCCCTCTCTTCTAGCACAAAGAAACCACAAATTGCTGCAAATAAAAAGAGGAAATGGTATGCTGGTTAGAGTCCAACCTACAGCTCAGTGCTTCCTATGTGATGAACAGACAAGCCCCTTCACTTCTCTAGTTACTTTTCTGTTTCTTCATCTGGTATTGGCAGTGATCATAAATCTGGCCTATGTGGCAGTATTATGTGAAGAGGTCAAAGCAAATAATATAGGGAACCCTACATATAAATCATGTGCATTTTGCTCCAGGAAAGAATTGTAACTTGCTCTACACAGGCTACACTGAATGTCCCATTCTTGAGACACGAATACTAAAGATAGCCACATTCCATATAATTTCATGTCACACACTCATGTTTATCCCAGTGGCTATCATTCTCAACAATACTAGATTCAGAAACTGAGTTTCCTATTCCGATGTGTGAAACCGGGTTCCTCAACAAAGCATGCAAGTGGAGTGTCACCCCCTCTGTTAGAATGACTGGATTTTCCCAAAGATTTCTCAGGCCCTGTTTTCTGTTGTGCTCCTCAGCTATTAGGACTTCTCCATTTAAGCAATAATTTTATTTACATTTTGATGGTGCAGAAATATGACTGAGCTAATATTAGTTTGAGTAAAGTGCAAAATTGCCATTCTTGTGGCAAGAACTAGTTCCTGGGGGGCTAGAATTTCAAACCAGTAGCAATACTTACAATGCTTAAGTCAATAGTTACAATGCTTCAGGTGTGTGATGTCAGCAACTCCACAACTCCCTCTGTCACTGCATCTTGGTAGCACATCTTTCAGTAATGTAAACTTTCACATCTATTCTAATAGGTGGAAAGAGAAATTACATAGCTTTGAGAGATCTGTCCAGAGAAATTGCACCCCAGGTTGTCCCAGATGACACAGCACTATAGTTACTGCTTTTATACAAATGCTTAGAAAGGGCTGTGATGTCTTCTGTATCCAGAATATCTTATCTTCCTATGTACAGTTATTTTTTTCTCTAAAAATTTAAAAACCCCATTCATTATATCCCTGCACTCAGTTACAAAGAATGAAATGCTTAAAGGAGATGTCAAATGCATCAACCGAAACATTGCCGCAGGTTTCTTGCCTTTGGAAACTTTTGCACACAGATCAGAGCAGGCCCTTTAATGAGACACACAGATGACTGACAGCATCCCTTGGAGCTGACCCAGCCCTCTTGGCATGCCTGGAATCAGAATAGCAGATTCATTCATCTGTGTATTTCCTTGTGGCTTCACAAATGAGCTGGTGCTGGATGCTAGACACTGGTTATTTCATCTGTGAAAATCCAAGGGTAATTAAAGTGTTCACAGAGGAAGAGAATACATGTTTGTCACCCTGATTCCATCACAATTGCATTCACACTATGGGGCTTTTAAGACAGATGTTGGAACATGCTGTTATCACTTATTGGAAGCAAATCATTAATAGTGAAACTTAGGAGATAAAGTTTGAGATCAAGGTTGTTTTTTTTTATTTTCCCTTAAATAAATAGCAATAGATTCAAGGATAGCCTTCTAATGCTATCACTGCCATTTATTTATGTTCTAATATGTAAAGGATAGAGTTAGGAGTATTTAACTGGGAATCTGATGAGTGTGCTTTTAACTTCTATCACAGCGCCATTTGTTTCTTTCCCCTATTCATTCATTGCTTTGCAAAATACTTAACCCTACTAGGTCCCAGGTTAATGGAGACTGGGTTTAACAATAGTGAATGAGATCAGTTCCATGGGTTTTATTTTCTGGTGAGAGATATATAAAATAAAGTAATCAAAATTATATGTATTTAATTTCCACTATATAATCTAATCATGAAGATAACTGATTTGTGGAAAATAAATCAGGTGAGAGGAGATGAATAACTTAGGGTTGAGGAGCTATTTAAAATGGGACAGTTTGGGATAGTTTCCCACAGAGATGACACTTCCACACAACTGATGTAGTAAAGAGTGCAAGACACCCGAGGATACAGTAAAAGAGATTTCCAGCCTGGGAGATGGGTGGGAGACATGCAAATAGAAAATCCAAGAGGTAGAACTTATCGACAGCCCAGAGAAACAAAGGCCAACATGAATTCAGCAGAGACAGTGGGAAGAAGCATCTAGAATATGGGGGTAGGAAGAAAGCAATTTCATTCTCTTTGAGAATGGGTAGTTGTTGGAGGATTTTGAGTGAGGATGAGTAAGACCTACGTGTGTGATTTCATGAATTATTTTAGTGTTGGCTAATAAGAGCATCACACTTATGAATAACTGTTACCATATGTGCGCTAAAGGAGTGGGGAGGTGGAGCAGCCCCACTTTGGGAAGCTTCATTGAGTATATTCAAAAGAGAAGAGAGAATATAATAGAAAGACTTTTTTTTTTCCTTTGGCCCCATTTAGTATTGTTGAAGCTGTGTTTAAAATCTACTTAGAGTCCAAGTAAAAAAAGAATAAAGCAATTCACCAAATAGCACTACATTTGTATACCCACAATTGCACAACTTAATGAAAATGGGATTTCTAAAAGGAAATAGACAAGGCGTAAATATCAATAAGCTCATTAACTCGTGAAGATGGACAGGGTACACACATGAGTGAAAATATAATTTAAACTTTGGTTGTCTGACCTTGTCTAATGCCTTGAGAACCAGGGATAATTCAACCAATTTCGCATTACTTTTCTCTTGTTCAACTTCCCCTCCATGAAACTGAGGCTTGATTTCTTTTTCCAAAGATTCTAATTTCACCAAGATTACTCTGGAATGCCTCTAATGACACCCTTCACTTTCACTTCTGTTCAATGCCAGCAGCAGCATGAGCCACCCAATCATTATAAAGTTGAATGAAACAGAGTCATCCATAGGAGCGACGTAAAAATAAACAGTCGAAATTGCCTGTCAGTCTCAGGAGGGACATGAAGAGTTGGTTAAAGATATCTTCCCTTTTAATAAGAAATTTTATTACTTTGGGGGTATGTTGTGTTCCCAGTCCTAGAGTCAGCCAGCTGCCACATCACCTTTGTTATTATCCGAGCCTTTAATTCTGGAGATACAGGGTGTCCTCATGCACAGGAATGATAATAAGAACTGGATGAACCCTTTGAGGTGTGGCTGAACCAAAGCATTGTGGCAGAATTTTGAGTCACCTGTTGCTACTTCTCTGTCTTTGTCATTGTCTCTAAGTTGTCCTGATATTGCAATATGGAGATTAGTCCCTGAGATTATGAACTTCATGTGCTTCTCTGTCTTGGATGAAATACACGGAAGAGGAAAGCAATTATTGAAAGGGAGTAATGCAATTGTGTTCTCAAAGACTGACGTGCCCACTAAAGTGAGATAAAATTACTTTAAAGAAGGAAAATGGGAAACGTGTTAGCTAATTATGTCTGATTCCAATCTTACCTACAACAGAATCATTGCTTGTAAATTCCAGATGAAACTGCAATGCTATCCGACGTGTTGCTTCCCATGTTCTGTTATACTTTTTTATAAAGTGCATAGAAAGGGAAATTCTTAATGAGAAAAAAAACACATTGGATAAATTAGAATAAGTAAAAAAAAAAAAAAAGTTTGGGTTTAAGGGAAAAAATGTTCTAAGAGGGAAGACAAGCCAATTGCTAAATAGGAACACAGTGGAGAATGGAACCCTAAGCTAATCTTCTAGCTAAAAGGTGCATCAGCCTCCTTGAGCTTGAAGTAGCTTTGGCTTGCTCTGTCTGTTTTGAATACATTGCTTGCCCACATTTTGTTCCAATTTTCCCCAACATGTCGCAGAGGCAGGAGAATGGGATTAAGGAAAATGATAAACTGTACCTCAAATGGCAGGGGGCAGTGGGAGGGTCTGGCTACCTCCACAAGCTGAAAAATCAGAAAGACACATTTTCAAAAGGAATTAGGGATAAGTGGCATGTATTACATGCACACAATTCCCTTTAGTGTTTCTGGAAGGAGCCAGAGCATGAATGAGGAATGCTGGCACTGAATGTTACCAGGACTTCAAAAAGAAATTGGCCTTGGCTTTATGTGACTCTATTCAGCTGCTAATATAAAAACAACACCTCTCTGTTAACAGGTACTTCCTTTGAATGTCTCCTTAATTAGTCAAATACATATAGATATTAATCAAATACATATAGATTGGGGGTAGCATAATCTCCCCGCAGGCTGGCCCTCAGTGGCAAGTCCTGTTCTTGATGCCACCAGTCAGCATATATTCAGACACTGTGTATTAGCAATGTGAGCCAGAGGCAAGCCCACTCGCTCTTCAGCTCTTGCCAGCTTTTGATTTGTTTCCAGCTATTCAATGTGGAAGCAGATCCTTGGAACTCAACAATGGGTTCTGCTCTTGTGCCTGGTGCCAAAACCGCAAGGGTTGGGGACTGAAATTAATCCATCTGTGGATTTTTTTTTTCCCAGAGCCTCACAGATTCTTGACAATGGCTTCAATTCTGATTTGAAAATAAAAATTCCTTGTTTATGAGATTTCGATGAGAAAGGGAGTCCATGCACTTCTGCTTTCCTGTTTTCACTCATTATTCCCAGTGGGAAAGACTCAAATCCAACAGGAATGAGGCCCATGCCAGAAATGTAATACATTATCTTTGTAAGATCACCCTACACCACACCAAGTCCCCTGGGAAGAGACCGCATGCATGTCCCCAGGTGAACAGAGCTCCAGGTGGGAGAAGCCCCCTGTCATAGATGGGGACATCAGAAATCCATAGCACAACCTGGTTTCTCACTGCTGGTGTTAATGCCCTGGACGCTTCCTGAGAAATTAATAAAATAAATAAATTAATAAAATAAATAAATTAATAAAATAAATGTCCTCACCTACACGATACTCATGGATGGGCCTCATTTCAGAAAGTATCTGAAAGACTTAGATAATAAAGAATTGCTTGATTTTCTATGCAGAAATGTGTCAGCAAATTTATACTTGAATTCCTTGCTTTGCTGCTATTTTTTTTATACATAATTATAGATTTTGAAAATGACTTTTTGTTTGCATTTGGGGGGAGATTTTGTACCATTTCTTTTTTTCCATTATTATTAGTGCATTTACATAATTATAGGGTTCAATTTGACATATTCATAAATGCATATGACTTACTCCATTTTCATCCCCAGTTCTACCCTCTTCCCTCCACTCCTCACTCACCCTGATTCCTTTCCTCTACTGGTCTTCTTTCTATTGATTAATTATTTAATTGGTGCAGTAGAGTTAAACATGAAAGTGGAATTCATTGTGATATTCATACAGGTACCTAGCATAATTTGGTCAGTATCATTCTGCAGCTCCTCCCCTTTCCTGTCTCTCCTCCCTCCCCACATCTTATTTTACAAGTCACTGTTCTCCCTTCTATTTTCATGAGGTCCCCTTTTTTAAAAATTCCTATTTCTCTCTAGCTTCTACATATGAAAGACAACATTTCACTGTTGACTCTCCGAGTCTAACTTTTTTCATTTAGCATGATGATCTCAAGTTCCATCCATTTTATCCACAAATGATATAATCTCGTTCTCCCCACCTCTGGGTAAAAACTCCATTATTGGATATTTATCACATCTTCAAAGAAAGAAAACCATTTTTAAATGAACAATGTTAAAAGGGAATATTTCAACTTGAAATTTAATCTATTTTGATTCTAATTTTTTTATTTTGATTTGAAAATAATTATATGCTAGTTGTATTGGTTTAGTTAACACCAGCTGCTGCAACCAACAAATCTCAAGATAAGTTGGTTTACGTGTGACATCATAATGACCTTGAGCACGCTGTTGATTTACCAGGAAGCTCTGCTAAAATGCCCTCCAGAACAGGAAGGTTCGAGGGCTGCGCTCTGCATCTTAATCATGAAGTCTGAAAAAGTGGATGGCTTTTGCTCAATGAGCAAAGTCAGGAACTACCTATATGATACTTTATAAAGTGCATTTGTTTCTATTGATCATATCCAGTAATAATAATAGCAAGTATGTTTTCATACAACCTTTAAAAACATTTAGAGGTATAAACATACTTATTCTTAGGGTTAAGATGTCAGGTGTTCCCCCAAAAGCTCATGTATGAGACAATGCAAGAAAGTTTAGGGGTTAAAACAGTGGGTTATGAGAGTTTAACCTAATCCATGCATTGGTGATCCCCTGATAGGGATTAACTGGATGGTCACTGTAGGCAGGCAGGGTGTGGCTGCAGGAGATGGGTCACTGGTGACATGCCTTGGGAATTTCTATTTTGTCCTTGTTGAGCAGAGCTTTCTCTGTGCTTCTTGGTGGTCATGTCTTGACATGCTTTCCTCCACCACACTCCTCCAACATAATGTTCTGCCTCACCTAGACCCCTGAGAAGTGGAGCAGGCTGTTCATGAGTTAAGACTTAAAAATTTGAGCCCCCAGATAAACTTTTTTCCTTATAATTGTACTTGTCAGTTCTTTTAGTCACAAGAGCAAAAGCATGACTAAAACAATTATAAAAGATTATTGTTGTTGTTCAGTTTGGTTTAACTGAAGAAATGGCAGGATAAGTCCACTATGGGCAGGGAGCATGTGTGTTTTGTGTATTATCACACACCTCCAGTATCTGAACCAGTGCTGACATCAAGATGCATACTGAGCATATAAAGTGATCAAAGCTTGACTCCTGTAACAATCCAATGGAGACAATGGGATGGGTGCCTGTATATGTTGTTTAAAAGCCCCTAACTAGTGAGTTAAAATATGAATTGATATTTAAATGATATGGAATTGCTCTTCCAGGGTTGATGGGACAAGAGAGGGTCTGATAAAATTTGTTTTAAAATCACTTTCAATGCTAAAGATGAACGCCATGATCATTGTCATAAACCTGCAAGTTTTAGTATTGTTGAAATATTAAAAGAATGACTCTGGATTTCTCTACTTTCCATAGGTTTTTAAAAAATTATTATTAAGGTTAACAAAATGAAGCTTTCAAATTTAATTGGATAATTGGTTTGTCATTGACTGACTGATTAGTTGATTTTTTTCAATGACCTGGGCAGGTCACCTAATCATAGCAGAAAGGTCTATCTAAATTAAAACATCAATGTCAATTAAAAATTCAATTAATGTGTATATCAGCCTGTAGATTTTATGCAAAATGTATGATACAACAGAATTATAATTTTGTAAGCTACAAATACTTTGGTAGCAGAGCAGAATGCCTTATTAGATAAGTGTCTATGGTAAACTCAGGGCTTTTGATACCCTTTGAAGCAAAGATTTATTATTTATTTTACATTATTGTAGAAGTTTATAGCTGAGTTGTATTTTCATGTTTCCTGTTTCATTTTCCTGTGATTTATGGCATGTTTCATTCTCATATGGCACGGCATCTCCAGCTTACCATAGTGTTCTATAGAGATACACTGATTTTCAATGAACTTTCATAAAAATTCCAAGTGTATGTCGAATAAATCAGTGATTGCGAGTTTTGTTGGCAAACTGTCATCTCCTGACTGCAGTCACCTCTCATGCTATGATGAGGAGGAATGCCACTTCATTAGGAGCAGCACCATGCTGATGGGTGACACTTGCTGGGGTGTCAGAGAGGGGAGGCAGACCTCCTGCACAATTGCCATCTCTGGCCTACATTAAAACACATTTGAAAAACAAGAAATATGTGTATGTTAGTGACTGCTTCATTAGAATTCACGTAGTATGATTAAATCCCTCGTTCTCATTCCACTCACTCTAATGGAGTTGTTAATTCACTATAAGAAAATCATCAATGTCTCCTTGGTCCTCACAATGTAAAAGTCAGGTGAATTAGAATGCATTAGATCTGATAAGCCAACTTACCAGGTAAAGTGCCAGTCGTTAGTTCACAACACTGGTCAGATTTCAGGGTCAGTTTTATCAGTGGCCTCAATGATGTCACAAAGGACTTGGTGGCTTATCACTCTGTTCAGCCCTTCACATTGTCAGTCTCTAACTAATCTTGTTTCTTCATAATTGCAAAGTGGCTGCAGTAGTTCTATTCCTCATAGTCATATTCTGCACCACTTGTGGAGTGAGAGAGTCAGTGTCCAGCCTAGTATTTCAATAGCCTCCCTGCATCTAAACACCACTTCCTCCTCTTACTAGCAGCATAATTTTGGCCAAGTTAAACCTGCTCTGTCTCAATACCTCAGCCTTCTAATCAACAGAATAGGCATAATAATAATTCATAAAACTAACATGAAAACAAAATTTAAAGATCTATGTGGAAAATTCAGAATAGTACCTGTTATATTATAAACACTATACAACCCTTAGCTAATATTATCTTTGATGACCTCAATGCATAATTAATGTCCCTAGATGCCTTTATTTTTTTTACACACTCAAACTTGGATTTTAATGCTAGGATGATAGCAGAGAGGAGTTCCCAAACTACTAGCAGTTTGCATTCTTATAACTTATTACTAGCAATTGAAAATGTAGAACGTGTCATTTCTTCCTTTAGAGAAAGCCTCACAGTTAAACAGAAAGTAATTTGCCCTATCATGCAGTGC